CTCTTTTCAAAACTCCTAACCAAACAAATTATCCGTACTCAAATCATAATTTCAAAACTCTCAACTATTCAAAATAATAGTCTAAAATCACTCTAGAGATTCGAATTCACCAAACATACCTTAAGGCAAGTTTGGGAACTAGCAAAAATAATCAAAAAGTCACTATAAAAAAGTAACTGTTTTCTCTATTTTTTAACATATCTTTTTATAAAAAATATAAAGGCAACTAAAATACTAGTTCCCAAAATGAGTGTAAAAAGCCTAATCACAAAGGGGTGATCTCCAGGGTTAAACCCTAAGGAGTTGAGACCCCAAAAGTCACCCTTAGGTGATGTTATACAGTACAGTTATTTAACCTTGTAGCGTGAAGTTGCAAACTCGCACACAGACAGAAATTCGAACACACACTCCTGAAACTAGATACAATTCACCTAAGTATGAAAGATTCGTCCTACTAATTATATATGTTGTTGCCTAAATTATTGCCCAGAAAGCCTCAAGGGCTTCTCAAGTTGCAAAAGGGTTCTCAAAACGAGTTTAATTAATTAATTTTTTTATATAAAGATAGTATTAATATATTAATATAGTTAAATTACGATTCTACATTGCCCTGTCATTTTAAATCCTTATACTCCATTTGGATCGTGAGATAAGGTGAGAAAAAAATAATTGTGATTTCTCGTCAGGATAAAAAAAAGAAAATAAATTATTATAGTTTCTTACTATTATGTTTGGATGAATAAAAGAGAAAATAATATAATATAATTTCTTACCCATCTTATTTGAATAGAGTAAATAAGAAGAAAAAAAAGAAGAAAGAAAAGTGTTGTATTTTATTTTATCAAAATAACCTTCCATACTAATAAGTTATGTTTTTTTTATATGAGTGTTATTTTAAATATTTTTTATTAAACTCAATTGTTTGAGAAATGCTATATATCCTAAATATTCTACCAAATATTTTACCAAACCTCTCAGATTTGGTGAGACTCTCACAAATCCACGTATGTGGGGATGCTGCTGTGTAGAAAAATGGGTCCATTTTGATAATCCGAACCATTCACATTTTAGTATACATTAAGTAGAACATGACTGCAAAAAATCAAGTTAATCGGATATCGGTTATCCATTCATCCACTCAAATTTGTATCTACAAAAATAAATAATAATTATAATTTAAAGTATTAAAATGAATACAAATGTGAGTGGATGAATAGGTAAACGATATCCGATTAACTTGAATTTTTACAAGCATATTCTACTTGATGTATTCTAAAATGTGAACGGTTCGGATTATCAAAATCAGTCCATTTTGCCGCACAGCAGCGCAGCAACATCTCCACCTCCCAAATCCACGTGTGTGGGGGTCTCACACCTATGTGAGAAGTTTTGTAAAATATTTAATAGAACATTTAGGGTCCTTAGCATAACTCTAATTATTTTCCAACAATATCTCACCAGTTTTCATGAGAAACAAAATATAGATTTGGTAAAAATTCTTTTTTGACCATCTCTCATCAGTTCTTATTTACTTAATCATCCAAATAAATAAATTATTCTCATAATTTGTTTTTTTATCTCACCAAATCCTCGCATCCAATGTGAGTGTTGACTTCCGTTCAGTCCACCTTAAGGCCTGACTGCAAAAGGGTCCGTTTGAAAGGTGGGTTGGTTTTTTGATTTTTTTACTATTTTAATTTGGGATTAAAAAACTTCGTTTGAGAAAGGGTTTTTTTTAATTTTTTAACTTTTTTGTAAGAGAAATAATGTAATAATTATGAATTGAATATGATGTTTTATTGTATTAGATTAAAATATTATATTTTGTCTTATATAGCTATTTTTGTCTCAACCCATCTTCCCAAACAAGCCCAAAGTGTTGTTTGGCAATGATTTTTTGATTTAAAAAAAATATAATAGATAAAATAAATTAAATAAGTTAATAAGATAAAATATTACATTCAAATCATAATTACTGTACCTTTTCTCTTATAAAAATTTAAAAAAAAAATCTAAAAGAATTAAACCAAACAAATTTTTAATCCCAAACTAAAATAATTAAAAAATCAAAAAAGTAACTAAAAACCAATTACCAACGGCAACTACAATCATTTGGCCAAACCCAATGTATGAGTGTGATTAACATCAACAACACGAAAACTGTTTTGAAACATGAGACCATCTCCAAAGATTCATTAAATTTAAGAAAAATGATTTTTCCCCCGAATTTTGCCTCCCTGAGTCTTATGAATTAGATGTGATATTTTATTGTATTAAATTAAAATATTATATTTTGTCTTATATAACTATTTTTGCCTCAACCCATCTTCCCAAACAAGCCCAAAGTGTTATTTGGCAATGATTTTTTGATTTAAAAAAAAATATAATAGATAAAATAAATTAAATAAGTTATTAAGATAAAATATTACATTCAAATCATAATTACTGTACCTTTTCTCTTATAAAAATTAAAAAAAAATCTAAAAGAACTAAACCAAACAAATTTTTAATCCCAAACTAAAATAATTAAAAAATCAAAAAAGTAACTAAAAACCAATTACCAACGGCAACTACAATCATTTGGCCAAACCCAATGTATGAGTGTGATTAACGTTAGCAACACGAAAACTGTTTTGAAACATGAGACCATCTCCAAAGATTCATTAAATTTAAGAAAAATGATTTTTCCCCCGAATTTTGCCTCCCCGAGTCCCCCAAAGACGTCGTTTTGGGATACTGAAAGTTATATAATAAACTATTAAAACATGCACATCTCAATTGAGGGACAGTGAGAGTGAATGAGAGAAGAAAGAAGAGAGAAAAAGAGAGGAGAAGAGAAAGAGGAGGGGAAGCGGGAATGAAGAGAAAAGAGGGCCTCTCTGCTTCCGCCGTCGTCGATCGTCGCAGCTCGTCGGCCGATCGTCTCCGCCCCGCCTCTGCCCCCTGCCGAGCTCGATTGATGTTGGCCCCTCTAGTCCTTCTTCTTTTTCTTCCTTCTCTTCTTCTTTTTAAATTCGGGTGATTCGAGGAGGGCTCTTTTCGAGCTACATATCACTTCTGTAAATTTAATTTAAATTTAATAAAAAAATTTACTTTTAACTATTTTAATGGTTCACCAAATGATTCATTAAATTTAAAATTTCTCAACTCTTTCACCAAAGTAAGGATAATGTGTCTTTTATCAAATCACTATACATAACCGTTTGATTTTTACCACCAATGTCCTCTGGATATCCCTAAATGACCACCTCAAAGTAAAATTTTGTAAAAAAATTAGAGATTTTTTATTAAAAGCCCCTCTCATTGGGTTTTTTTTGTGTGAAGACCACGTAAGAAAATACTGATTCCAAAAGTCCTTCAAATAAAAAAAACACGATGAAAAGACAAAAATATCCTTGCATATAAATGGGTAAATATCAAACAATGGAACCGTTTGTCTCCCTCACTCTGTTTCATCGCTTGAACTCGTTGCTCGGAAAATAACTATCAGAAGTACTCAATAACAGAGTAAAATTTTACTGTTATTGTATCAAAAAAAAAAAACAAAAAAAAAAGAGAACACATTACAGTAAAATAAAATTTTACTCTCATTTTATCAAACAAAAACAGAGCACATACTAGAGTGAAATTTTACTCTCATTCTGTCAAACAAAAATAGAGCACATACTAGTAAAATTTTACTCTCATTCTATAAAAAAACACAGAGGACATACTGGAGAAAAAAATAGAGAAACAGAGATACAAAGAGCACATATATTACCTTAGATCTGGTTCAAACAAGAGTAAATTTTTACTGTTTGAAAAACAGAGTATAATGAGGAAACAAAGAGAAAATGATTGAGAGAATTTAGATTTGAGATGATAGATCTCAAATCTGAGGTCGTCAATCTCAGATCTGAGGTCTTGGACGTTAAAGATGACGATGGTTATTGTCTATGATATAGTGGCATCGAATGTCGCTAGCGGTTGAGATGGTGGTGGTGAAACGATGGTGGTGGTGGCCGTAATGAACAGCACTGGCGGTTGAGACGGTGTTGGTGGAGATGGTGGAGGTACTGGAAATGATGGTAGTCTTGGTAGTGGAGATGATGATGGTAGTGGTGGTGTAAACGGCGGTGGTAGTGGAGAGAGCTCTTAGAAAAAGATAGACAAAGAAAAAGCTAAGTGAGAAATGACAAACAAGGAAAGATAAAGAGTGTGTGTGCAAAGGAATAAATTTGTCACATCAAATATAAATCTAAAAATTTTTATCCTTCTAAGATTTCTTTATTTTGGAAGAGTTTATGAGCAAAAAAATTATAACTTGTCCTTTTCAAGAAAAATAGGTTCTATAAAGAAGTTATGGCCAAAAATCTCAAAAAATTACCTTAACCGATCTATTGACCGGACATGTGCTTGATCCTCTACCCAATCGATTAGTGATTTGATAAAGTGTTAAAAACTTTTGTTAAAATACTTGATATTAAGGTCAAGTTTGGCATCTACTAAATAATACAAAAAGTCACTATTCTATTTAAGACACATCATCTCATTTAAATCACATCACCTCTCTAACACATCACATCAAACTCAACCCAAACTCAACCCATATAAGCCAATAAGTCAAAAAGTGCACTTTTTTAGAACATCCTAAACCAACCCTAAGGTCAAGTTTGGCATGTGTTCAAAAAGTTAAAAAGTTATCACTCTTTACCAAAAGTCAAAAAGTACGGCTGCACAACTTTCAATTTTAATTTTTCCCTACATACTAATTTATACAATTTTTTAATACACATTTTTTCATAAAAAGTCAAAAAATTAACCCAAATAACCATTTTTTTTCTCAACTTTTTAATTTAAAAATTCAAAAAATGCACTTATTTAGAACATTCCAAACAATCCCTAAATGATTTTTTTCTTTTCAATTTTTTATTCAAATTTAATAAATTAAAAAAAGAAAAAGAAAAAAAAGAATGAATTGTTAGAGATGGCCTGACAGCTTCCAACATGTATATTTTTCCTCTCCGCGTTTGGCCTCTCCTTCTCTCTCTAGATTGCATATGTGTCTATCTATATCCCTCTCTCTCTAAATTCAAACTTTGAAAATCAATCAGAGAGAGAGAGAGAGAACATGGCCCCAACAACTCTCCAAATCTTCTCCCTCCTCCTCTCCCTAATCTCCGCCGCCACCACCGCCACCGCCCAATCCCAAGTCGCCGCACAATCTCCCTCCTCCGCCGCCTGCAATGGCATCTTCCTCTCCTACTCCTACACCTCCGGAGCTCAGCTCCCCCCCACTCTTACCTCCGATCCCACCCACCAACCCTACAAATTCCAATCCACTCTCACCATTCTCAACAACGGTCTCGACGATCTCAAATCGTGGCAAGTCTTTGTTGGCTTTCAACACAACGAGTTCTTAGTCTCTGCTTCCAATGCTGTGCTCGCCGACGGGACTACCCTCCCCGCCGGAGTTGGAAACGGCACCGTTTTTGCTGGCTACCCTACTACAGATCTCAAGACCGCCGTTGAGACCGCCGGAGATATGACTCAGATGTCGGCGCAGATCGATTTGGTGGGTACCCAGTTTGGTGTTGGGTCGAATAGTACTCCTATGCCTGCTAATATTTCGCTTGTCAATGATGGCTTTGTTTGCCCTACACACATTTTGCAAGGTATGAATTTCGCTCCCGGTTTTGTTAATTTCTCATGTATGTGTGTGTGTGTGTTTTTGCTGGGTTTATTGATGGATTTGATATTTATGCTGTTGTGGTTCATTTCATAAACTTTGTCCCTGTTTGGTTACTGAGAATTTGTGGGAAAATAATGAAATTTTGGAATCCTTACCTGAGATGACAGTTTGGAGAAATTATTTCATGGGGTTTTCTGGTCTTGTTAATTCCACATTTTTATGTTATGTTGCTAATGGGTTTAATGCTGGGTTTGATTTGATCTTTATAATATTGTGGATCATTTCATAAAGGTTGTCCCTGTTTGGTTAATGAAAATTTGTGGGAAAAGAAATGACATTTTGGAATGGTAACGTAAGTTGACTTTTTGGATAAATTATTTTGATGGTTTTTTTGGTATTTTATCTTATTTGATTGGTTTGATTTGATCTTTATCTTGTTGTGGTTCATTTCTTAAACTTTATCTCTATTGGGTTACTGAGAATTGTGGGAAATGAAGTGAAAATTTGGAATTGTTAGATTAGATGGCATTTTGGAGAAATTATTTTGGTGGGTTTTTGTTGTTTTATCTTATTTGATGGGTTTGATTTGATCTATATCTTCTTGTGGTTCATTTCTTAAACTTTATATTTATTTGGTTACTGAGAATTTGTGGGAAAGGAATGAAATTTTCGAATTGTTATGTAAGATGACAGTTTGAAGAAATTATTTTGATGAGTTTTTGTTATTTTATTAGGAGAAACTATGTTTATTTGTAGTTTTTTATTTTTTTATTTTTAGTTGTGTTATAGATCTGATCTTTTTGTGATGTTTATTTTAATGGTAGTCCAATTCTAGACAGTTCTCTGACAGGGATGGGAATGCTAAATTAAATTTTCTTGTGTATTGGTTGGACATATGATTATGGCTTTGAATCAAGTGCTAACTATGATATTCTAAGTTACAAACCCAAGCATTTCTCTCAAAAGATAAATCAATATGAAGATGATGAAATTAGATTCAAAAGATTTACAACATTACATGCACCAAAATATATTAATACACTCAATATGGATAAAATGTTACCTCTGATTCTTGGAGGTAATTAGGGTTTGCCTTACAACTTTTGTTAGGCTTGTCATTCAAATTTTTGATAGAATAGAACTATTAAATAACCTAGACTAGTTTGGACTCTCTAAATTAAATATTAAAATTTGGAGACTGAAAAATGGTAAAAAGTGAATTCTTGTGACACTTTGCTCATATATATCATAGGCATGTATGTTGATTCAAGTGAATATAGTGGTGTTTCTTTGCAAGTTAGGCTTATAATGTTGATTTATGTGTGGTCTAACTTGTGTTCTTTACATTTATTACTTGTGGTTTTTATAGGGACGAGTGATATGCAAGTGTGCTGTACCAAAGACCCTAATTTTAAAGCTAACATCACCTCAGCTGGAGATTTTCTTCCCCGCCAAAACGGTGATCTTACAATAATGTACGATGTGCTCAGAACATATGACTCAAATTACTGGGCTCAGGTCACAATCTCGAACCATAATCCCCTTGGCCGCCTTGATAATTGGAAATTAAGTTGGGACTGGATGAGAGGCGAGTTTATATATACCATGAAAGGGGCTTATCCGTATCTTGTTGATTCAACAGAGTGTGTATTTGGTCCGCAAGGCCAATTCTACAAGGAGCTTGACTTTTCCAATGTATTGAATTGTGAGAGAAGGCCAACTTTGATTGACCTTCCTTTGGACAAGACCAATGACACAACCCTGGGAATGATACCTTTTTGTTGCCGAAATGGTACGATCTTGCCACCGTCAATGGACCCAAGTAAATCGACTTCTGTTTTTCAGATCAATGTTTTCAAAATGAAGCCAGATCTCAACCGTTCACAGCTCTCCCCACCACAGAACTGGCAGATCAATGGCACGCTCAATCCTGATTATCAATGTGGACCTCCAGTTCGGGTGAGTCCTAGCCAATTCCCAAACCCTAGTGGATTACCATCGGATACAGCCGCATTTGCCAGCTGGCAGGTGGTGTGCAACATCACGCAGCAGAAGGGAGCTAGCCCAAGTTGTTGCGTCTCATTTTCCGCTTATTACAATGAATCCATCATTCCTTGCAATACCTGTGCTTGTGGGTGCCCTAGTACCTCGAGCAGTACTTGTAGCACAACCACCCCTGCTCTTCTCCTTCCATCTCAGGCTCTTCTTGTTCCTTTCGAGAATCGAACCGATCTGACTGTTGCTTGGGCTGATCTTAACCACCTACCAAAGCCAAATCCCTTACCCTGTGGAGACAACTGCGGTGTCAGCATCAATTGGCATTTGTACACAGACTACAGTAGTGGATGGACTGCTCGAATCACAATCTTCAATTGGGACGATACTAACTTTGTCGATTGGTTCACTGCGGTGGAATTGGATAAAGCGGCTCCGGGTTTTGATCAAGTTTATTCGTTTAATGGAAGTTTGCTGAGTGGTGTCAACAACACGATATTCATGCAGGGGAAGGAGGGCTTGAACTATCTTGTGGCTGAATCAGATGCAGCTGACCCACAGAAGAATCCTAGGATTCCCGGGAAACAACAATCGGTTATCTCATTTAAGACAAAAAATACTCCTGGAATCAACGTGGCTGGTGGGGACGGGTTCCCTACTAAAGTATATTTCAATGGGGAAGAATGCTCGCTTCCTACAATACTTCCGACAAGCAATGCTTATAGCAAGGGCTCAACAATAAGCGTTTCGATACTCTTAGCACTCATAGTATTCATGTTAATGCAACACTAGCAATGGGATGAGGAATGATTGTTTGGTTTCGGTCACCGGCACTTATTTTTCATTCTTTCAGCAACTTGGATGACCCTCCATTGGGAGTTTGGCACTCGATTTGGTTAGTTGATTGTTGTTGCTCTGTAGATTATGTCGGATATCAAAATTACAGATTTATAGGATAGAGTTTCATTGTGTACACAGTTGTTGGACTATGATTATATGTTTTATTCTTTATAATATGTTTAATTTTTCTTCCTTGAGTGGAAGATGTGACAATTGATAGTGTTTCAGTTTTGTGTTAACCAGTGTGACTTTTGATTAAACTTTGATTGCAGATTTTTTTTCAAAAATTTTACTTTGGGTGATTCAATTTACACACTAGTATTAATACTTTCAGTACACACTATTAATAGATTAAATTTATATTTTAATAATATTCTTCAATTAAATGACCATTAAGGACAATATGAGGTGTATTTTATCCATTCAAAAAATTTATATTTAAAAATATAAAATATAATTCACACACCATTGTTTTTATAGGGTCAAGGGTTTTAATATATAAACATTGTATTTCTTCATCATATTCGCCATTAATATTTACTTATGATATCATCCATTATTAATTAGCTCACTACATTCTCTTTTTCATTATATTTATTTTTCAAACTCAAAAAATTATTACATTTGAAGATTTAGGGTTTAAAAATATTGAAATCAATTACTTTTGAAGATTTATACATCATGAATGACACTGAGATGGTTGGTTCCGATACAAATATTGAAACGTTGATTTGAATATTGAAAAAGTTAGTTTATGACTTAGTTTTTTGGTTTTTTATTTATCCCATTCGTATATTGAGAATACAAGTTTGTTCATCGTGTTCAGATAACCAAAGTTAAACTTTTACACAATGTTCGATTATTTATATTTGAAAGATTGATCAAATAGTAAATGTTCATGTATAAAAAATTAAATATTTTAAGTTAGTTCGGTTAAAATAAATTAAACTTTTATTCATTATTCAAATATAAATTTTTGAATACATTAAGTTTATTTAACTCTGTATTTATGAACATGACTAATTTGATGAATCTGAAATGACGACGAGAGATGAGAGTTCAAAATTGACAATGAAGATCAATACCAATGAAGATGGGGGCTGGAATGAAACACTCCGAAGATCATCTGAAACGGCGAGACGACGAGATTAGACGTGGCGAAAGTTTAATACCAACAATGGAGATCAACACTGACAAAAATTGAGGCCGAATGAAACCTTCGCTGACGATGGTGATCAAAACCGACGAAAATAGTCTCTGTTGATCTCTATTATGAAGATGGTGGGGGGTTTTGTTGTGGGTAGTGGTGAAGATAAATAATTTTTTGTGTGTAACGATGTGTATTCAAATAATTAGTAATGTATTAATATTGGATTAATAATGAAAAGTTAAAGTGTAAATTAAGATATTTTTAAATCCTAAACTTTATTTCATGTGTATACTAAATAATGGTATATACTGAATATTATTAGCGGAAGTGCTACGTAGCTCGAAGTTGCCAAGCCCGAAATTGGCTCGACTCCAAAACGACGTCGTTTGGAGAATTTTTTTTTTTTTTTTTTTTTCATTCGGAAAAGTTGGAAGAAAAAAACTGGAAAAAGTTTTTTTTTCTTCTAATCAACACATTATCCAACGTTCAACATCTTCACATTCAACACATTCACTCTTTTTTTTTCCAGATCTTCAACAACTTTCAAGATTAGAAGAAAAAAATTGTTGATTAGAAGAAAAAAATACTTCGGTGTTCAGACTCTGTTTTTTTTCCAGATCCAGTTTTTTTTTTTTTTTCAGCAGATCTGGATATGGAAAAAAATAAAAATAAAAATTGTTGATGATGATGATGAAGATTCAACCCTTTAATGCCTTTTGTGTTCTTCATTTTCTCTCTGGATTTGGACTGAAAAAGAAAAACCCATCCTCTTCTCTGTCTGTGTTCTTCATCTTCAAAGAGAGAAGAGAAGGGAAAAAAAAAAAAAATCCAAATTGTTGATCTGGATGTTGATCTTCAGATGTGGATGTGGATGTTGATCGGTATGTTGATCTTCAGATCAAAGACCAAATTTTCTCTCTATCTTTGCTTCCTCTTCTCTTCTCTCTCCTCCCTCTCTCGCCTGTCTATTATTGAAAAGCTAGGCAACTGTTATTGAAAAGCAAGGAAAGGAAAAGAATTAAAAAAAAAAAAATTTCGAGCCAGTTTTCGAGCCCAAGTATTCGAGCTACGGGTCATTTCCGTTTCAATAACAGACAGGCGAGAGAGGGAGGAGAGAGAAGAGAAGAGGAAGCAAAGATAGAGAGAAAATTTGATCTTTGATCTGAAGATCAACATACCGATCAACATCCACATCCACATCTGAAGATCAACATCCAGATCAACAATTTGGATTTTTTTTTTTTTTCCCTTCTCTTCTCTCTTTGAAGATGAAGAACACAGACAGAGAAGAGGATGGGTTTTTCTTTTTCAGTCCAAATCCAGAGAGAATGAAGAACACAAAAGACGTTAAAGGGCTGAATCTTCATCATCATCATCAACACATTATCATCATCAACATTTTTTATTTTTATTTTTTTCCATATCCAGATCTGCTGGAAAAAAAAAAAAAAAAAAAAAAACTGGATCTGGAAAAAAACAGAGTCTGAACGCTGAAGTATTTTTTCTTCTAATCAACAATTTTTTTCTTCTAATCTTGAAAGTTATTGAAGATCTGGAAAAAAAAAGAGTTGAATGTGAAGATGTTGAACGTTGATACTGTGTTGATTAGAAGAAAAAAAAAAACTTTTTCCAGTTTTTTTCTTCCAACTTTTCCGAAAAAAAAAAAAAAAAAAAAAAAAAAATTCTCCAAACGACGTCGTTTTGGAGTCGAGCCAATTTCGGGCTTGGCAACTTCGAGCTACGTAGCACTTCCGGTTATTGAAAAGCGAGGCAACTGTTCTTGAAAAGCAAGGGCAGGAAAAGAATTAAAAAAAAAAAAATTTCGAGCCAGTTTTCGAGCCCAAGTATTCGAGCTACGGGTCATTTCCGTATTACTAGTCTGTAAATAGAATCCCCTTTTCACTTTTTGTTGTGGAGCCATGAAAGTAACGTGTTTAGCAATGAGCTCTGTTTGTAAATTGTAATCTATCAGACCCATTATTAGTTGGAAATCTTCTTCACCTATGATGGTGAAACTCATTACTATGGAAATTAACTCCAGTTTAAATTAGCATATGCTGTGTGAATTATGAGCAGAGTTGTAAAATAAATCAAATTATTCGAGCTTGGCCCGTGCTCAAATTGTTAAAAATTCATTTGAGATCGCTTTGTTACATAAATAATTTAAACTTGCACCAAGTTTAAACACATCACATGGTTCTAAGACTTCATTTGAAAAATTGGATTGACTTTTTGATTATTTTAATTCAGGTTAAAAAGTTTGTTTTAGTTGATTTTTTAAATTTTTATAAAAGAAAAAGTAAAATAATTATAATTTAAATACAACATTTTATTTTATTGACTTTTTAATTTATTTTGTCTTTTTGTGACTAATTTAGCCAAAAAAAACCAACCCAACCCAATTGCCAACCGACACCTTAGTACTGCTAAATTTCAATTCTACATAGGCAGTTCTCCAGGTTCCACACATTTAACATATATGCCTCACACATTTGAATTTTATGGCGCTTTTTATTGGCAGATAAGAGGGTGAGATAGTACTTTTAATTTATTCCACAATAAAATAATTCCTAAATCCAAACACACCAAAGGAAAACAAAAAGTGACTTTCATGATTTTGAGATGAAACCAATGGTGATCATCAGCAGAGTTTATGGAAACACAAAGAATACAATCTTTTTAAAATTACGGAGAAGTAAATAAACATGAAAAGAAAAAGTACCAAGACTTGTATCTTGAGCAATCAAATGACTTGTTTACCCTAACCCTAAACTCCAAAATTGATCAAGCATGGCGAATTGTTCACAACCAAACGATGCAGCAAAGTAAAATCAAGATCCCATGTATTGAAGTAATTAGGAAACTGAATTTTCACCATTTGGTTGAAGGAAGGAATGGGTTAAATTCAGTGGTAACAGTAACTATGTACACCAGAAACTGCAAGTATAGGGAGAGCTGGAGCTGAGGCGTGTCTATACAGGGAGATTATCCAAGGAATACCCATCAAAGCCAAACTCATTTGAAGCCGGTCCAATGCCTTCCTGCTGCTAGATGACAGGAGAAATTTGAGTTTAGTAAATCAACGCACTCATTTATCCTTCAAAACTGAAATTTTCAATGGCTAAAAAATTGTCACTTTTTGTCCGTTTGGCAATAGTGATCTTGAAGCCAAAAGGGAGAAAAAAGCAACTTTTTCACTCAGCTTTCCCACTAACAAAAAAAACCACCTTTTTAGCATTTTCCAAACACATCAGATTTTTTGACTACCACTAATTCTAAATAAGTTTTAAAAGTGTTTGCCAAACCCCTAGCTTCCAAAAGCAGATTACAAGAAGGAAAGAGAGCCAGAAAACTGACCTGCTTGAGAAGTGCACTCATAAGGTCCTCCTGACTATATTGTTCAATGGTTCCATTTCCACTGTCTTCCCCAACTGAGAAAATTCCCTTACCGATAGATGTATTTCTGTTATGTGCATTGTTTTGGCAAGAAGAAAAACTTTGGTCAACAAAAACTGACGGTGGGACATCAATGTTGCCTTGCATGTTCACATGTTGGGAGGTGTCAAAGTTCAATCCTAGACTTTGTAACTCCCAATCTTGCGATTTATGCTGATGCAAATCACTAAAAATATCATAACTAGGAGCAAATCCTCTAGATCCTTTCATTCCTGAATTACCCTCTTCTTGGAGCGCCGCTTTGGATGTGATCCCGGACATCCCTGAATTATTCCCAAGCAGAAAACCATTGCGTGGCAAATCCGTGTTTCGGTCTATTGAGAAATCCACCATTGAAGAGGGTTGAGAAACTGAATTGTATACCGTCCCTCTGGCATTGTCGGCTATTCCATTTCTTGAAAAAACCCCACTAGTCATTCCAGTGGACAACGCAGGCGGAGCAATGGACACCAAAACACCACTTGTCATTCCAGTGGACAATGCAGGCGGAGCAATGGACGATGGAAGCCTCAAAAGATGATTGGCATTAGTATCGTTCAACATCTGTGGTCTCGAATGTGGTTGAGACATTTGCACGAGTAAAGAGCTACTCTGGCTTCCATGTGGGTTGGTTTGCATATTATTCATGCCCCGGAAGGACTGTACAGATTGGTGCAAGTTCGCAAGTTGCTTCGGCTCCATGGTGGTTGGGATTCCATGAAGTAAGTTAATTTGCTTATTATTATTGCTCGGTTGTGGCGTTTCAAATCTTTTTGGCATTTCAAAGCTGAAAAGGTTTCTTTGATCAATAAGGGGCACGGATATGCCAGATTTAGCAGTTGACCTACCTAGAGCCGCTGCTTGGAGCGAAGCAAGACTTTGTGCCGGGATTTGACCAGTGGCGGCCAGAGCTTGAAAATCGAGCCCGTTGAATGAAGATATCGGCCCAAAGGTCGCATCTGCAGGCCCCACAAAAGAGTTATTGAGTCCGCTCTGGTGGTGTGATACTCCGCTTAGCCTTCTAAGGTAGAGCCGATATTTCTGCACCAAATTGTTGCAGTTGTGAGTGCTCCATAGAGGAAGCTGGGGGGAAAACATGCCAAGTAACAGCTACATACAAGTCATAAGAGATGAGAGTACATAATAGACACACTTCGTTATTCGTTAGGAAAAATAGTGCCATACCTGAAGGTGGCTAGCAACATTTTCACGAGTGAGTCCAGGAACATTCATCAACTCGAGAATTTTCTTAGGAACAGCCTCTGTATATTCATATATCAGAAATGAGAACATGAGGAAAACGAAAAAAAAGCTAATGGAAATATAAACGAATGGAAGCTCGTTGAATAAGCATAAGGTAATTGCATAATCAACTGAGCTCTACCAATAAATAAGTTGACAAGAGATCAATTTACACAAAAATATATATATATATATATAATCAATTTATATATAATCAATTTACACAAAATTATATATATATATATATAAATTAAAACTAAATAAATAAAATTATGTCAATCAGGCAGCAAGCATAAACACACAATCTTAACACCAAGCATAAGACATGTAGCTCACACAACTACAAGCTAAACTGCTATTCGCTTTTTCATTTTTAGTTTTTGCACAAAATGGCTTTCCTAAGACCCACATTCTCACACTTTTCACACATGAGCTTTTACCATTGTACCAAGTAAAGGCAATGGTCCCTTGCAACAACTGGATAATGTTCGTAAAATTGATTAATGGTAACATCCCCACATTTCCATGTTAAAAGGGTTGAGAAAAGTTAGGGTAGAGATGCAGATTTGGGGAAAAAATAGTGCACTTATCGAGTGGATCAATGATAACACTACGACCATGGATTTAATCTGAACAATTGTAACTTCTAAAGTTATGCACCATTGCTCTAAGGTAGTGCTTGGTTCACTTGAATGAAGGTGTAATGGAATGGAATGGTCAGTCTTTGGCCTTCCCATGGAATGAGCATTCTCTTACAATGGTGAATGATGATTCTATTTGCAATGCCTTTTTCATCATTTTTTTAATGAACAAAATGTGAATGGAAATATCATTCCATTGCACCTTCAATCCAATGAACCAAACACTACCTAAGCAATCATAATGTTTTGGCCTTAAAAGAAATTTCCTAGGAACTCTATCTATTGGGTAAGGACTAAGAAGCAAAAAGAAAAGACGCAGCCAAAAAAATGGGTGAAGACTCGTACTGTCAATGCCAAGTTGATTTACAGCTGCCACAAACTGTTGATGAAGCTCAACTGACCAAACCACTCGTGGCTTCTTTGATGACGATGTGTCATCCCTCTCCTCCACTTCATCTTCCTCATCTTTCCTCCTCTTTGCGTTTCGCCAACTCCCTTCATTTGCTGACGATGAGAAATCTGCATCTTCTGACAGCTTTTGTTGCTGTTGTTCTCCTTCGTCTATGCTTCCCGATTGCTCGAAATCCTTCCACTCATTCTTCCTCTTCCGAACTACATGCTGCCAAATGTTCCTCAATGCCTCAATGCGAACCGGTTTGATTAGATAATCACATGCACCATGAGTAACACCTTTCATCACAACACTTTTGCTATCATCCGCAGACATCACTGTACGAGCAGAGCACAAAATCAGAACTCAGAAAACAAATATAATAAAATACAAACCTTCAAAAAATGAAGGTTAACACTATCTGAAATGACTGAAACAAAGTGCTTACTGATAACAGGCAGGTCCATTTCAAGCCCGACATGCTCAAGGAGTTTGAACCCGTCCATATCAGGCATGTGGACATCGCTTATAACAATATCGTACCCATTTCTGTTCTCCCGTAGTAGCGATAATGCCTTCTCTGCTCGATTACATTTGGTAACTGAAAATAAAAAATAAATAAATAAATAAATAAATTGAATCAATTATTATATCATATGACTACAAGCCCTAAAATTCCTCATTCAAAGACATCACCCCCAAAAAAACAGAGGAAATAATGGACTGTCAGCATGAATCAAGACTAAACTCTTAGGTTGTGTTTGGATTAAGTGTTTGAGAGGGGATTTGTGGAGGGATATGAAAAGGGAAGCGAAAGATGTGTTTGGATTAAGAGTCTGAGGAGAGAAAGGAAAAAGAATGGCAAAAGTGAATATTGATCACTTTTTCCTCCCGTTTTCTTTTTCCTCCACCAATCCACTCACAAATCCCCTTAATCCAAACACAGCCTACGGGTCAAATGAACACAGCCCATGACCCCCAGATCGCAATCACACAATTTTTGTATACAGAACATGCCCTGTCACACCAAATTGCAATTTCAAACATAACCCATTTCCAAACCTGAACAATATCAAAGCTCAAAGTACTAATTATGATGTAAAACAACACCAAAATCGTAGTTTGTTTTTCTTATCTAACCAGTTATTCCTAATTCCATGAACAAAATTTTGAGCATAAAACAAACATGTATCAGCATCATTAAAGACAATAATCAAGAAAATAATATGAAAATAACAGAACTTGAGAGAACCCAATTAGTCAACTCTCGTAGAATTCAATTAAAATCAAGATTGAATATGTACATATATATATACATATATACCTTCGTAGAGGCAGTTTCGAAGCATCTTCTCTAAGATCATGAGACAAGTGGAGTCATCATCGACAACAAGTACCCGGAGACCCACCGGAAACTGGTCGGAAACAGCATCACCGGGCTTCCAAGAAACACTATAGCTCGGCACCGACATCGATCTCGCTCCTTGACCTCCCAGATTCATTTTCTCCAACTTCAATCACAAACCCACATACAAAGTATGTAATATTTGTGAATACCCAGAAGAAATCCCAAATTTATAAGAAACCTCACTCGGGCACCGTCTCTCTCTCTACTTGCGTCTGTGTAGGGATTTTTTTTTTTCCGTGGGATTTTTTAAATAATTTTTTACCATGTTTGCAGATTACGTTATATATTAGTAAGATTACGGTTGCTGAATAAATTACTTTATTAGTAAGATAACGGTTAATAAATAAATTATTAATAAATAAATTACCTTATATGAAATTATTAATAATACAATAGTTAATGAATTATAAATAAATAAATTACAGATTATTAGTAACATAATGGTTAATGAATAAATTATTAATAAATAAATTACCTTATATGAAATTATTAGTAATACAATAGTTAATGACCTTATATGAAATTATTAGTAATACAATAGTTAATGAATTATAAATAAATAAATTACAGATTATTAGTAACATAATAGTTAATGAATAAATTATAAATATTTAATTAGAAAGTGGGTCTATCTGATGAGTGTGGAGTGGATCCAGCTCATGTATGAGCCTTAACTAACCCCACGCCAGCCAAAAGCCCAAGAACATTATATTATATTATTATTAATATTATTCCAATAATTTAGGATTTACCTTAAAATCATTCAAACATTTTTATTTACAGTATTGTTTGTTTTGACAATCAATTTGAGATTTCCATAAATAAAAAAAATCAATTTGGGATTGAATTACAAAAATAATAAGTCGTTATCTTTTTAAAATTGACTTACTTTCTTTTCTTATAATTTTAAAAGAGGTTAATGTAATTTATCCTTTAAAGATTCACAACGAAGAATAATTATCTTGTATGAAAAAGAGTAAACTCAACCTTAATTGCATGGTGGTAAAAATAATTAGATATGTAATGCTCAAAAAGTCAAGAAGTAAATTGGATATTCACGTGCCAAAATTATCTCATCATTTATTTACTAAGCTTTTATTTGAATGAATTGATCATCAAGTAAATAATGGGTTTATGTATTTCTTCTTTATCATTTCATCAAATTTCCAAACTTTCTTTTTTCACAAATAATAAATCATAAGTTGAATATTTTAGAAACAAATTTGTTAGATAAACAACTTTTCTATCAAAATAATTTATACCATATTGTTTTGTTTTCACAATCAATTTGGGATTCCCATAAATAAAAAAAATCAATTTGGAATTGAATTACCAAAACAATAAGTCGTTATTTTTTTAAAATTGACTTACTTTCTTTTCTTCTAATTTTAAAAGAGATTAATGTAATTTAACCTTTAAAGATTCACAATGAAGAATAATTATCTTGTATGGAAAAGAGTAAACTCAACCTTAATTGCATGGTGGTAAAAATAATGTTTTAAATTAATTAGATATGTAATGCTCAAAGAGTCAAGAAGTAAATTGAATATTGACTTGCCAAAATTATCTCATTCTTTATTTATTAAGCTTTTCATTGAATGAATTGATCATCAAGTAAATAATGGGTTTATGTATTTCTCCTTTATCATTTCATCAAATTTCCAAACTTTCTTTTTTCACAAATAATAAATCATAAGTTGAATATTTTAGAAACAAATCTGTTAGATAAACAACTTTTCTATCAAAATAATTTATACCATATTGTTTTGTTTTAACAATCAATTTGGGATTCCCATAAATAAAAAAATCCATTTGGGATTGAATTACCAAAATAATAAGTCGTTATTTTTTTTAAATTGACTTTCTATCTTTTCTTATAATTTTAAAAGAGATTAATGTAATTTATCCTTTAAAGATTCACAATGAAGAATAATTATCTTGTATGGAAAAGAGTAAACTCAACCTTAATTGCATGGTGGTAAAAATAATGTTTTAAATTAATTAGATATGTAATGCTCAAAGAGTCAAGAAGTAAATTGGATATTCACTTGCCAAAATTATCTCATTCTTCATTTATTAAGCTTTTCATTGAATGAATTGATCATCAAGTAAATAATGGGTTTATGTATTTCTTTTTTATCATTTCATCAAATTTCCAAACTTTCTTTTTTCACAACTAATAAATCATAAGTTGAATATTTTAGAAACAAATCGGTTAGATAAACAACTTTTCTATCAAAATAATTTATACCATATTGTTTTGTTTTAACAATCAATTTGGGATTCCCATAAATAAAAAAAAAATCAATTTGGGATTGAATTACCAAAATAATAAGTCGTTATTTTTTTTAAATTGACTTTCTATCTTTTCTTATAATTTTAAAAGAGATTAATGTAATTTATCCTTTAAAGATTCACAACGAAGAATAATTATCTTGTATGGAAAAGAGTAAACTCAACCTTAATTGCATGCTGGTAAAAAAAATGTTTTAAATTAATTAGATATGTAATGCTAAAAAAGTCAAGAACTAAATTGGATATTCACTTGCCAAAATTTTCTAATTCTTTATTTACTAAGCTTTTAATCGAATGAATTGATCATCAAGTAAATAATGGGTCTATGTATTTCTCCTTTATCATTTCATCAAATTTCCAAACTTTCTTTTTTCACAACTAATTAATCATGAGCTGAATACTTTAGAAACAAATCTGTTAGATAAACAACTTTTCTATCAAAATAATTTATACCATATTGTTTTGTTTTAACAATCAATTTGGGATCCCCATAAAGAAAAAAAATCAATTTGGGATTGAATTACCAAAATAATACGTCGTTATTTTTTAAACATTGACTTACTTTCTGTTCTTATAATTTTAAAAGAGATTAATGTAATTTATCCTTTAAAGATTCAGAATGAAGAATAATTATCTTGTATGGAAAAGAGTAAACTCAAACTTAATTGCATGGTGCTAAAAATAATGTTTTAAATTAATTAGATATGTAATGCTCAAAATGTCAAGAAGTAAATTGGATATTCACTTGCCAAAATTATCTCATTCTTTATTTATTAAGCTTTTAATTGAATGAATAGATCATCAAGTAAATAATGGGTTTATGTATTTCTTCTTTATCATTTCATCAAATTTCGAAACTTTCTTTTTTCACAAATAATAAATCATAAGTTGAATATTTTAGAAACAAATCTGTTAGATGAACAACATTTCTATCAAAACAATTTATACCATATTGTTTTGTTTTAACAATCAATTTGGGATTCCCAAAAAAAAAAAAAAAAAAAAATCAATTTGGGATTGAATTACCAAAATAATAAGTCGTTATTTTTTTAAATTGACTTACTTTCTTTTCTTATAATTTTAAAAGAGATTAATGTAATTTATCCTTTAAAGATTCACAATGAAGAATAATTATCTTGTAAGGAAAAGAGTAAACTCAACCTTAATTGCATGGTGGTAAAAATAATGTTTTAAATTAATTAGATGTGTAATGCTCAAAAAGTCAAGAAGTAAATTGGATATTCACGTGCCAAAATTATCTCATTATTTATTTACTAAGCTTTTATTTGAATGAATTGATCATCAAGTAAATAATGGGTTTATGTATTTCATCTTTATCATTTCATCAAATTTCCAAACTTTCTTTTTTCACAAATAATAAATCATAAGTTGAATATTTTAGAAACAAATCTGTTAGATAAACAACTTTTATATCAAAATAATTTAAACCATATTGTTTTGTTTTAACAATCAATTTGGGATTCCCAAAAAAAAATAAAAAATAAAAAAAAAATCAATTTGGGATTGAATTACCAAAATATTAAGTCGTTATTTTTTTTAAATTGACTTACTTTCTTTTCTTATAATTTTAAAAGAGATTAATGTAATTTATCCTTTAAAGATTCACAATGAAGAATAATTATCTTGTAAGGAAAAGAGTAAACTCAACTTTAATTGCATGGTGGTAAAAATAATGTTTTAAATTAATTAGATAAGTAATGCTCAAAAAGTCAAGAAGTAAATTGGATATTCACGTGCCAAAATTATCTCATTATTTATATACTAAGCTTTTATTTGAATGAATTGATCATCAAATAAATAATGAGTTTAAGTATTTCATCTTTATCATTTCATCAAATTTCCAAACTTTCTTTTTTCACAAATAATAAATCATAAGTTGAATATTTTAGAAACAAATCTGTTAGCTAAACAACTTTTCTATAAAAATAATTTATACCATATTGTTTTGTTTTCACAATCAATTTGGGATTCCCATAAATAAAAAAAATCAATTTGGAATTGAATTACCAAAATAATAAGTCGTTATTTTTTTTAAATTGACTTACTTTCTTTTCTTCTAATTTTAAAAGAGATTAATGTAATTTATCCTTTAAAGATTCGTAATGAAGAATAATTATCTTGTATGGAAAAGAGTAAACTCAACCTTAATTGCATGGTGTTAAAAATAATGTTTTAAATTAATTTGATATGTAATGCTCAAAAAGTCAAGAAATAAATTGAATATTCACTTGCCAAAATTATCTAATTATTTATTTATTAAGCTTTTCATTGAATGAATTGATCATCAAGTAAATAATGGGTTTATATATTTCTTGTTTATCATTTCATCAAATTTCCAAACTTTCTTTTTTCACAACTAATAAATCATAAGTTGAATATTTTAGAAACAAATCTGTTAGATAAACAACTTTTCTATCAAAATAATGTATACCATATTGTTTTGTTTTAACAATCAATTTCGGATTCCCATAAATAAAAAAAAATCAATTTGGGATTGAATTACCAAAATAATAAGTCGTTATTTTTTTAAAATTGACTTATATTCTTTTCTTATAATTTTAAAAGAGATTAATGTAATTTATCCTTTAAAGATTCACAACGGAGAATAATTATCTTGTATGGAAAAGAGTAAACTCAACCTTAATTGCATGCTGGAAAAAAAAAATGTTTTAAATTAATTAGATATGTAATGCTAAAAAAGTCAAGAACTAAATTGGATATTTACTTGCCAAAATTATCTAAATCTTTATTTACTAAGCTTTTAATTGAATGAATTGATCATCAAGTAAATAATGGGTTAATGTATTTCTCCTTTATCATTTCATCAAATTTCCAAACATTCTTATTTCGCAAATAATTAATCATAAGTTGAATATTTTAGAAACAAATCTGTTAGATAAACAACTTTTCTATTAAAATAATTTAT